GCTGGCCATGTCTTTCATTTGGTTCTTCTTTAAATAAATTTCCACTTGAGGGTACCTTTCAATAATGTCATCAACAACGTCTTTAAATGCTTTAAGATCTAATTTTCCGGAATTGTTCTGGTCAGCCTTGCTAAATATCACGGCTATATCTTCCTGGTAAAGCCGTGGCACACAAAACTGTTATGTTAGAACTTAAAGAACTAACAGACCACTGCAGCACCATAATCTGTTGTTAAAATGTCAATGATTTTTAGCAGAAATAGTATGCAATGGTTAATATCAGGTCTATTGCAAAACCTTAAGCTTTTTAGGCATGTAAGTTCTATTTACTCATGTCATTCAACATTTTGATCTCTATCTGATATGAAACATTTTTACTAGCACTTACACACAAGAAACAAAATGTGGTAGCTACTATAATCACATCATATTATAGCAATGAAAGAGCACAGACTAAAAACAATAAGGGCTTGTAGAATGAACAATTCATAGATTACACCTACCATAACTCTACGTTGATTTATAGTGGCACAATCACCAAGAGCATAGATGTTGTCAGATCCTTCCACCCTCAGCCATTCATCAGTGACCAATGCACGTCTGTTAATCTGTCACAGAAATAATTCAAAGCTAGCAAAAATTGAACAGTAGCAAATTTTTCCCCTGGATTGTGAGAAACAAAGAAACAAACCTGGCCAAGCTGTTTCATAAATTCAACTATTTCAGGGCGAGCACCGATACCAGTTGACCAAACTACCATTCCGTGAGGTATGGTAACAATTTCACCAGTTGACCTTTCTTTGGAAGTGATTTCCTTTTCACTAACTTTCACAACCATAGATCCCAACTTCACATTAATGCCATCTCTGGCAAACTTTTGTTCAGCAAATTCAGTAATTCTCTTGTCAAACCTGCAATGAACCAAGAAATTATATAACAGTTTCACATTCAAAAACAAAAGGGGATGGTCTTAAAAGTGATTTTAGTGTTATTCTTAAAGGTGGAATTGAATTTTCACTTCGATCATTTGCCTGACGAATGTTTACATTAAAGTTCAACATACTAAGGAAAAATTCTGATTCTGATAGAAGCAAAGAAGCACTTTGAAAATTGAATATAGGTTTTAACATAGACTTGATATGATAATAAGAAAAAATACATTACATGTTTAAGATATGATCGCCTGCCTCCAAGAGAATAATCTTCACATACTTTTCAAGTTCAGGATATAAATAAGCCAGATCCTCATGTACAAAGTCATGAAGTTCAGCAGAAAATTCTACCCCAGTTGGACCACCACCAACGACTACAAAACTCAGAAGCTTTTTCTTCTCTTCCTCTGGTAAAGTAGGGAGGCTAGCTCTTTCAAAAAGTTCAACCACTTTCCGACGGATTTTTAAAGCTTCATCCACTTCCTTCATAGAGAATCAGGAGTCGTTCAGTTTGCACATCTAATTAAAAGGACCTTTCTTTTCATACGAATACACACATGCACCATTCCAAAAGAATAAAAAAATTATACATAATTCAGGATTACTATGATCCTGATCAATCTTTAAGGTACACATGCTTGAATGTTATAAACTCTCATGTAATAAAAAATCTCAATTATATGAGCGTAAGATTGATAGGGACCATGTACACATGCAATATTTCTCATAAGAAAGAAATTTATATACAATTCTCATATACTTTTGTGACTGGTTTAAGTACAACATTAACAACCTCGGTGAAACTTCTACTTAATAATATAATTATGACAGAAATTGGATGTTTAAAAGATATATATACCTTCAGGAAATGGGCGTGTTCCTCAACACCAGGTGTGTTGAAGGTATTAGAACGACCTCCCATAGCTATTACCAGGTAATCATAATCAATGGAAAATTCTTCTCGTTCACCAGACTTTTTGTCTTTCACAGCACGACAAAAAACTTTGTTATTCTTTTGATCGATCTTGTAGCATTCAGCTTCACTAAAACTAATATTTACACCGCTCTGTTGAACAGTGTTTTCCTTGTAAGTGTATATACAAATATAATTCAAAAGCTGAAACATTACGCACTACTAGTAAATGTGGCAGTTAATTAATAACCATTACACACATGATACACTGTACATAGCAGCATGGATGGTTATAATAACATGTTAATTTTGTTCTTGTTTAAACAAGAGAGAAGATGATTGATGGAAAAGGTACCCTGCGGGTGATACTGCGAATGGGTTCAACGACGCTCCTTGCTTCCACTGAGCCACATGTTACACTTGGTAGCAATGGAGTGAATGCAAAATAGTTACGTGGTGAAACCACATGAATATCATAGGAGTTGCTTTTCATATTTTTCAGAAAACTGGTTCCAGCCCAACCAGTTCCAAGCACCACCACCTTCTTCTTTGGAGGTTCATTGCTATGTTCTGGTTTGGCATCACAAAATGCCACTGCTCCTCCTCCACTGCAACCCAATGCAGAAAGCGATTAACATAAAAATTAATAAATCAAACACAAACACGTATAAGAAGATCATCACTCCCTATAAAATGATGCATACCAACAAAAATAAAATTAAGTGATTATACTGATACAATACAACTCTTACATTTTTCTTGTTTAGAATATGAAGAATAGATCTGTATATATATAGATAGATACCATGCATGAATTTAACTATATTAAGTCTAATGAAGAAGTTGCTTTAGCAGCTGGACTGTTACAGAACATATAAAAAAAATGGCAAGAACGTAAAGTATGAGATTTTATAAGTTAAACCTGATGACAGTGCAAACAAGAATAGACTTGGACCATGATGGATACTCATTGAAAGCCCTCGAGGCTGTGTGAAAGAATCTGGAAGACCAACGCATTGTGAAACTCCTAGCTAGAGAGCTAATTTGTCTTCTTAAGTGCTTGTTTCTATGTCAATTTTGTTTTCTTTTTGGTTCCTTCGGCATGCTATGTTTGTAAGAAAAATGAGAAAAACACGGGCTAGAAAAACGGGAGTGACAGATTTTTCAGGTACTGTTTTGAACAGTAGCCCAAGGGCAAATTTGTTACTGCATAAAAATGCATTTTCTTTATGTTGACTGGTTAAACCAAGGGAAATAATACACCTGCCATGTTGTTCGAGGAACAGATCTCCTTGAAAAAAAGCATGGTCAATCATTATAGTTGAATTACAAAATGATCCGAGAATTATGCAGTCAAACCGCATCTTTGCTCAAAGCTCTCTTAATCTCATCGTTCTTGTTCACTCGATTTTACACATCATCCTTCTGTTTTTTTCCATACATTTTTCAACGAGTACAAGTGATTGATTTAATTTTGAAATGAAATCATTTATTTTAAAGTTATAAATTAAAAACTATTTGACTTTTTCTTGTGAAGATGATATGAAGCGGGTAAATGTTATCATGACATTCTAAATTTGTATACTTGTCATTTTTTTCTTCAAAGCTTGCGTGGTTCCCGATGACAGTACACACTTAAATGATTATATTATCAAGATGAGTCATCATTTTTTATAACACTTATAAATTTTTTAGAAATAAATACATTTATATAAAAAATTAAAATATTACTCCTAACTTGAAATATAAGATAATAGATTTTTTATTTATTTTATTATTCATCTTGAACACTGGCCAAAAGTCAAAGTTATTACTGCATGAAAATTCATTTTCTTATGTTAATTAGTTAAAACAAAGGAAATTGTACACTTTCCCTTAGATCTGTTTCCTTCTCATTATGTACGAATAAAAGGCTTGAAAAGGATCCAATCCAAATCCAAATCCACATACATGCATGCTTATGTAAAATGGAAGCAGTAAACAAAAACATTCAACGAAAATGCAATAACAGTTGATCATAAAATTGTTTCCAATGGGGATGTTGTTCCATCAACATTGATATCACTATACATTAGATACAAGAATCAACAGAGCTAACCAAGATGTGAAATTAAACTCGACTTGAATCCCTGCCAAATATGAATCTTCTTGTCCAATCAGACACGACCAAGACCCTTGTTCGCCAGCTCACTTGCTTGCTGAATGTTGAACACAAAGTTATTAGATAAAACTAGTTATGCAAATACATCAAACAAGTGTGCTTTACATAATAGATAATCACTCACCTTGCATATACAGAATACCAAAGCCATTGAGTGCTGTGACCCATGGAAACCCAGTCTCCAGGAAGTTCTGCAGCTGTCTGCTCCCCACCCAGTGGAGCAAATTGACCCAGATGCCTATACCTTTTGTTAACATACAAACAGTCTCTCACTAATTAGTCACTGATGAAGCATAAACACAATTACCTGTTTATATTATATCTTTGATTAGAAAAAAAAACTAACCTAAAATAGTTATCAAAACATCTTTTTTACCCAATTAGTGGCCAACTATTTTGAAAACATAATGTGGTATATCGGAGGCAGATAACCATGCCTTCTAAACACATCATTATGCAAGTCTACATGTATGGAAGAACGTGGATCTGGAAAACTCATTATCTTCAAAGGATCTCAATATCTCTAGCACTGAGATAATTCACTCACTCAAATGCATTTCAATTATCAACCAGAAAATATCTGGGTTCACCAAAAAAGAAATATGTTATCATTATAACATTGACTAAAGGTATAATCAAATTTTAATATAAAAATAGTTACAAAGCTCATCATACAATCTGATTTTGTAAAGGCAAGTTAAAAATATGATCAAATTATAGTATATATAAGTGAGTGCAAACTTCTATAAACAGATTTTGTAAGATTAAGTTAAACTTAAAATTCACTTCATAAGAAATTTGCTTGAATAGTTGTAAGAATCAAGAATTATTTTATCTATGTAATTATATTAATTTGTTCTCCTAGAAATAAGCCAGGTAAATCTGAACTGATCTGTTCTTTTCAATCTAATATAATATCCTAAAATAATAACAACGAACAAAGACATCAAACCACTTTTGCCTAGCATGGTAGCAGACGAATTCCAATCCAGTATTGTTCTTCTGGTTTGTTCTTTCTTACTTCCACGTTTTCATGGTCAAGCTCATGATTTCTAGTCATGACCTGTTCTCGATTTGTGTTCTTGTTCTTTTGGTTCGTTCATTCTCCCTTCCACATTTTCATGGTCTAGCACATGGTTTCTAGAGGTGACCTGTTCTTGATTCGTGCACTTGCAACCTATTATCCACCCATGCCTCCCTTGTTCATGTTTTCTGGTTTCTATTCACTTTACGATATTTGTTTGTGCTTGTGATTATTGTTCTTGCTTGTGTTCATGTTCATGCTTTCGATTTCTATTCTTGTTTGCAGTCCCCATTCATGCTTGTGATTTTTGTTCACACTTACATTCACTACACTTGTTCGCTGTGGCAGTTTTTTTTGTGCCCATAATTTTTGTTCTCGCTCATGGTTCTTCAACCTTGTTTGCTTCATTTTTGCATTGCATTTTCATGGTTCTGTTTCATTGGGATAGTGCTACTCGACCATCATGACAACTTCAAACAAAGACAATTTTTGTATGCAACTGACGGCAAGAGTTATTCAACTCGGAAATATCAATTCAAGATGTATGTCAAAGGGAAAGGACTGTGGGGTCACCTAGATGGCCCTCTAAGGCACAGACTAAAAAATAGCCTTAGATGCATGGGAAGAAAAAGATGCTCATATCTCTATCTTTTCCTGCACTATTGCTTCCAACTTATTGATTGTTGGTCAATTAGTAGACAACAAATGTAATGTCAACTTTTCTCAAGCTATCTTGTGTGGAGTAGGTATTGAGGGAAATGGTCATGAAGGGGGCCTAAAGTGGGAAGATTGTTTCCTCTCCAGTTTATTTTCCATCACTTCTCTTCTGCTTATAATAATGTTTTCAATCGCGATGAGGATTGACGTAGAAAATTGGGTCATCCTAGCTCTATATTTTATCTCACTCATTTAAATTTAGTTTGTTGGGATATAGTTATTGGTATTGGTGCATTTGTCTTGTTCTGCTTGCAAATTGGCTAAAAGTAAACTACTTTATTTTCCATAGCATCGTGATACCTATTGTTTTGAAATGATTCATAGTGATGTTTGGGGCATGTCTCTTGTGACTTTTCATGCTCACTATAAATATTTTGTTACGTTTATCAATGATTATAGCTGTTTTACTTAGATATATTTTCTTGGATCTAAATTTGAAGTGTTTTCAGTAACAAAGGCATTAAAACATTTTTCCTGACAAGTAGAGTAGTATATTGGACCTTAACGTCCCACATAGAAGGGCTTAGAGCATGGTTTCAAATAGAAACAAAATGCTTCATCTAAAAAAGTGGAAGAAGGCAATCTATAGTGATTATCAGGCATAAAAAATCAACCAAAGAAATTACATAATGACGTGGAGTAGACCATAGAGAACACTCTGCCTAATTCGACATCTAATCCCCTCACTTCCGTGTGTGCCACTGCATTGTTTCTTATCAACTGCTTTCAAATTTGAAGCAATCATTACATAACGGATGAGAACTAACTTAACAGCCATACTAGATTTCCCTGGCCTTTTATCATTCAGTGGACAACTTTGAAATTTCCCCTCCACAGACAAGAAATACAGGAAACACAATAAGAACATGATGTACACAGTTTACCGAAAGGGCAGAAACTTATGGCGTCCAGATCCACTAAAACGTCGAGGACCTTCAGGATTCTCTTCAGCATGATCCATGTGGTTGAAGCATCTAGCTAGATATGCACCCTGTTGGGCAGCAACCTGGATATAGCAACACCTTAAAAAATGTACAAGATATCTGGAAGCAAAAGGTATCAGCATAAGTAAGAATTACTGGTGAAATATATACCTGTGCAGTTGCTGGCAGACTCTTCACCTGTGAATCTGCATGACAAAGGGCCAGCTTAAATGCTTCTATGCCTATTTCCTTGCTTTCATTCCCTTGCAAATCTTTCCATAGTGTGCTAAAATCACGCAGATGTTTTTGCTTTAGATAGTGCTCAACTTGCGGATATCTTAAGACAATGTCATCCACCACCTCCTGGAATTCTTCAATAGTTAAGGTGCCTGACTTATTTTTGTCTGCAGCCTCAAATATGGCTGTGATATCATCCTAGAAACCAAGGTAACAAGTTAATTATCACAGATCAATTCAATTGTGATTTACATAACATGCATTTCGTTCCTGAATACAAGTACATGTAACAAGTTTGTTCAATTTATCAGAAATAATCAAATGAAAGGGACAATGAGTTTAATTTCATCATCAAAACTCAATCAAGTTGTTCACATCTTTATTCATTCAGAGAGGATACAGCACATTGCTGTATTAAAATAAGCTTAGAAGTTTAGAAAAGGCCTCTTAAAGTCTAAAGAGATACCATGATTTTACGTTGAGTTATGCTAGAACAATCACCAAGGGCATACACCTCTTCACATCCCTTCACACGCAACCATTCATTTGTTGCTAGTACATGCCTTTCAGCCTGCACATGGTGAAATTCTCGCTTATGCAGATATGATTATCCATACAATAGTAAATTGTGATTTTAAGCCAGAAAGGCATTATATATGATGGATCTGAGGTAACATACTAAAAAAGCTGGAGCAGCTTCCTCACTATGTGCACAAGCACATACACAAGAAGTGAGAAGAAGAAAGAGTGAGGCAAATAGCATTCAGAAGAAATGCATGGAATGAATGAGCACCTGACCAATTTCTTTCATAAAGTCCCTTATAACTGGAAGGGTTGAAATGCCAGTTGACCAGACAACCAATCCATGGGGCACTGAGCAAACCTCTCCAGTTGATTTTTCCTTCATTGTAATAACCTTGTCATCAACACCGATGACCCGGCATCCTGTTTGAACTTCTATCCCATCTCTTGTAAATTTTTGCTCAGCAA